TGATCGCTCAATTTTCAGCTGGAACGTTCGTTTGCTAGGGGTTGCACAATGCCACGAGATTTTCGCCCAGGTCTTCAATTCAAGCAATGTGATTCTCCTTCAAGAGTGCCAGTTTGTCTCCGATCGTGTTGCTGAGGAACACGGTTGGAATCTTTGTCGCTCCTCTTGTGAGCGAGCGTGCGTGGGCCTCCGTGGTGTTTGGAAGGACGATGTCCAACGCGAGGCCAGAGGCGACCGTTGGGTTGCCGTTGTTTGTTCTAATGTCATCTTTCTCTCTCTTTACTTGCCGCATAAGTATTTGCATGGAAAGTCTCGTGAGCAGTTTTTGCGTACGCTTAGTGTATACCAAGAAGTGCTGAGGGATACAGCGCTCAATGTTGCCAGATTGAAAAAGCAGTTTCGAATTCAGGATGTTGTTTTAGGAACCGATGCTAATGTTGAGGTTGAGCCTCAGGTTTTCCACATGTCTCAGGCTGTCTCGGGTCCTAGTGTTGTTGGTGTGCCTATTGTCCCTCGTACGAGGGATGGCGGATTTCAGAGGCGATCTAAGGAGTTTGCTTTGGAACTCAGTGAGGCTCTTACTTTCACTATTGGCACCCTGGGCCTCCAGTTGGCCAACACTTTCAACCCTACGAGGCTCCCTACCTGGCGCTCTGCAAAATGGGCTCACTACAGGCACCTACCTCAAGAACAGCAGTACTCTCACGTCTATGACTACATAGGTGTACCTTCGTCTTGGGGAGCTCCTGAGGTCTCCGTCTTGTGGCCATAGCCGGGGGCAGCACATATGTCTGGGAGCTCGGCCTCGAGTTTTTGGAGTGATCATGGTCTGTTGCACTTGCGTATCCCTGCTCGTGTCTTGCCCCGTCGAGTTGTGCGTCCCAATCCTGTCCGCAACACACGTTGGCATGTTCAGTCTCATCGTGTACCTCTTTTGCGCTATGCGGTTGATGCAGCCCTGGTGTCTGGCAACAGCCAGACAGAACAGACCGATTGGAGTGGACATACGGGTCTCTCGCCCACGGAGCTAGGTGACATGATTCGACAGCCCTGTGAGGAAATCGGCGAGGTCCCCACCAAAGCAGACCTTACCCCGACAGTTTCTGAGCAGTATGTTGCCGCTCGGGAGGCCGCACTTGAGATGAGGAGGAAAAGAAATAAGGGTGAATGCACGGAGGAGGAGTTCAAGAAGGCGAGGAGGAGGTACAGATATGAGAGGAGGAAGCATGGGAGGAATATCTTGGAGTATGAGTTCCGTCCAGGTCTACAGCATCGAACATACCTTAAGACGCTCAAAGTCGAGGGAGTGCTCACTTGGGACAAGTCTAAGTGGGAGAAGGCCCTCAGAGCGCACGGTCTGGCCATGTATACTGATGAACATGAGCGTGCACGCACAAACAGTAAGCTGGAGGAGATGAGGAAGAGGTTGCAGGAGGTGAATGTGCAGGGGTACCAGCCTATCGATATCGGCCTGCTCATGCGTGCTAGGTCTCGTCTTCGTTCAGGAAAGGCCGTAGGTAAGGACAACATCAGCGTCTCCATGCTTAAGCACATCCCTTGGTCAGGTTGTCTTCAAGTCTTGCGGTGCTTTCAGCAGCTGTTTATGCGCGAGTATTGCACACCCACAGCATGGCGCCATATATGTATACAGCTGATGCCGAAGTCTGTGAAGACTTGCGAATTCAATGACACACGAGCTTTATCATTATTATCTTGCCTGTCAAAATGGTATATGTCATGTCTCACCTTGTTGGCCGTGGACCATCTCAAACGGAGTGTTGCCCCCGAGGTCATGCTCTTCGGGTTTGTTGCTGGAAGACGGACACACGAGATTACTGGTGGTTTGAAGAGAGTTGCTCAGCACGCGACGGAATGGGGGAAGTCATATTGTATGCACACGGCGAGCTTAGACGTGTTTCGTGCTTTTGATAACGTACAGGTGGCAGACGTTGCTGACTGCCTGGAGGAGTTGAAGTTTCCACCTGAACTTAGTTATGCGCTCATGGAGGGCCTAGCTGAGAACGGGGCCGATTTATCTTTCCAGCAGGTGGATGTCTCGGACATAGCTTGGGATAGTTGTATCCGCACAGGTAGTGTTGAGGCTCCGCTCTTTTGGCTGTGTGAGAGTGTGCTCATGTTCCGTTCTGTGGTCTTGAGTTGGCAGGAGCGGGGGATGGGAGTGCAGTTGACGCAGCAGGCAGGTACTCGTCATCTTACACATGCTATTTGGGCCGACAATGTTCTGTTGTGTGCCAGAGATCAGAGTGAGTTGACGACCGTGATTGCGGAGATCAGTGTCCCACTTTATCACAGGAAGTACAGATGGAAACCGAGTAGCTTGCAGTTTATTCGCTTTGGCTACGATGAGCCTGGGACCGAGAGTTTGGATGTCTCTTTTGCGTTGCCGAATTCCCAGGATAAGCGTCAGAGAGTGACTATAACGTTGCAGCAGACAGATCGTTTGGAAATACTTGGCACGATTCTTGAAAACAGCATGCGACAACATGAGGACTTACATCATCGGGTTTCTCTCGCACAAAAGGCGTTTTGGCAGGATAAGAAGTATTACATGTGCCAGGGTATTAAGTTGAAGAAAAGATTGCGGCGATACGACTCACGTGTAAGAAGCCGATTATTGTTTGCAGTGGAAGGGATGACAGCTGACAAAAATGCTATTGAATCGATTCATGCGTTTGAAGGCCGCTTACTTTCGAAGATGGTATGGAGACGGAAACGTGACACTGAGAGTTGGCCACAGTTTTACCAGAGCGTGTACTTGACGGGGCGGAAAGCACTCAGGACAGCTCAGATGCCGAGTGCGGTTCAGCTCTTTCTTTTCAAACAGTGGAGTTGGGCAAAGGATGTGGCGACGACAACTGCTCAAAACGGGATCCGCCAAGCTGATGACGTCCAGAATACAATTGATCCAATGGAAATGGGTGGTGCAGTGTCTCTTGATATGGATGGGATGTCCCAGAATGCGGGTGCTACTGTACCGATTACCACGGATTTGATGTCTCAGAATGCGGGTGCGGTCGTACCGATTACCACGGGTTCGATGTCTTTGAATGCGGGTGCTGCTGTACCGCTGACCAGAGATCTGAAACGACGGAGGGTGACTGTTATTGTGGCCCCTGTCCTTACTGCCCGAGGGGACCTCACCGTTGCTCTGCCAGAGGGTCAGGAGAACAGCGCCACGAGTCAGAACCGACGACGGCTTATCTCTCAGGCGTCCCGTGCTGCTGCCAAAAGGAGCAGGAATGCTCCCACATCATCTACGCCATCATCATCATCAGCCCCTACACCAGCGCCAGCTGCCATGCGAAGAAGGTTTCGAAGTGATATGGTGGGGGCGAGTGCGGATGACCCGTTCTTGCAGGCCCGCTACACGATGATGCATGCCGGACTCAGCAGATGGATGCCGTTATTCGCACATATAACTCGCAGGAAGCAGGATCCTTTACACGTCGAAGGGAAGGTGGAAAAACGGTGGGACTTCGTCCGTGGGGCTTGCCATTTGAAACGGTGGGTGGAGATGCTTGGTATGATACTCTTGAGTGGACTCAGGCAGGGTGGAGATGTTTTTTTCCGTACTTTGCTTTCGGAGTTGGACCTGCAACATGTTTTAGAAAATGCTCACCTGCCTGAACCAAAACCCTGGAGGCCGAAAAACGACGAGGAGGAGGTGGAGGGGACGGAGGAGAGAAATAATGAGATTGCAAAGCGGCTCGCCTATAACTTCGAGAATGCCAGCGTCTGGAACTACGAGGCTGAAGGGATTCCCGTCGAGCTCTGTGGTGACTCCCAGGTGGTAGTGAACTGGCTGGTGGGACAATATGTATGTACGACGGAAGTGTATTGTGAGACCATTGCACACATTCAAAGTATATTATACAGATTACACTTGAACTACCGCGTGAATCTGAGGCCGCCGTCTTGGGGTTTAGATCCTTGGAAGTGGTTTTATCGTGAGGGAAATGAGCGTGCTGATGCTGAAACTTGGAAGGCCCGCACGGGCCAGAACCATCGTACTTTCGACCCGTACATTCATACTCTCAGAAGGGAACAAATAAAGGGGATTCGCGGCTACTTCGATGGTGGTCGTTCCTCCCACGGTGTTGGCATTGGTTGGGTCATTGACTTATTCGTGCTCCCCCTCCCTGCTCTTCAACACTCTCAAGGCTCTTGGCTATTCAACATAGCCTCCGAGGCTGCCGCCATCCCGCCGACCTGCACGGTTAGTCAAGCTGAGCTCTTGGCCAGCAAGCGCCTCGCTGAAGGTGTCGAGCACCTGCTGCTCCTCTGCTGCGGACCTGAATCCTGAGCGGGGGCTCCCCTGTCCCTGTGGGCTCCGAGCAAAGCAAAAGAAAGGTTGACGGTTTACCGCCGGCGCCCAGTTCCGGCGCGGGGTGGAGCTAGTTGGGCGACCCGACCAAAAGAGACAATGTGTCACATGTGGGTCGGTTTTGCTAAGATTTGAAAGATATTTGACCATTTATTTTTTTTTTTGTGAAACCAGTATTTTCGCACCTGTAGTGGGTTATGCCGCGTCTGCCAGTCAAATTCTCAGGTCCGTAGGTGCAGTATTATTTTCAGAACACTTGGAGGAACCGACATTGGATAAAAACAGAAAAACGTGATTTTTCGAGTTTTTCGTTTCTCGCTCCAGAAGCTTTCTTCATGTGTTCCGACGATCGCCGTGCAAGAAAAGAGCTCTACGAGGTTCCCGGCAGTGACCAGGTTGACGGTTTACCGCCGGTTCCCAGTTGGGTCGGTTTTGCCGATATTTAAAAGATATTTGACCATTCATTCCGAGAAAGCAGATTTTTACGCCGAGCATTGGAACATAAAATTTGTTCCTAGAGCAGCTCAGCTCTCTAGAGCCAGTTTTACCATCGGAAAATTAGGAGCAACCGACATGAAGTTGACAACTAAAAATGAAAATTCGACGTTTATCTAGAAATGCTCCAATAAGCTGTTTGCTTTGAATCTATTACGCGTGCAAAGAGCTCTACGAGGTTCCCGGCGGTGACCAGGTCGGGCAGAGCTTACCTCCTGCTTAGCCTGGCCTCACCGCTGGGGTCCCCCTCGTCTCGAGCTGCATAGTGCAGTGAGGTGTCCTTTTGTTCCTCTTACTGTGCATCTTGTGTGCGGGCCGTCCAATAACTTCGGGTACTTACCGCTGCTGATAATTTGCTACGGGTTTGAATTTGTGTATCTCTTTGTTCTCATATGGTCGTTTCTTCAGAAGTTGTCAATTGGCTTTGCTCAACAGTGAGGACGCTCCAAAAGAGAGTCGCCGAATTGGAGCGAGCCAGAGAGACGCCGCGCGTGATCTCATTGTTTGGCGCATTGGAATTCAGAGTTGTGGCTCCGAGGTATATTAAATATGGATCAGAGTTGCGGCAGGGCGTTTGTGTGCAGAAGATATATGCTCCCCGATATTTTCGATATCTCGGTTCTACTTCCGAGGGTAGCTCAGCTGCTGTTTTTGACGATATGGAGGAGGAGGAGGCGGCATTTTCTTCATGTGGTCTCGCGCATTCGGGCTTCTCTGCAGGGAGTACGATTTATCTTTTTGATGCCATTTGTGGAAAGGAGGAACATGAAATGAGTGGTTCCAGGACGGAAGATCCCTATGCAAGCTTGGCAAAGTCTTCCCCTCGGCAAAATGTTGGGGCGCCAGTTTCTTCGGCAGCTGTTGGAATGCACGTTTCTACTGCAGATGTTGGCATGCAGGTTTCTTCAGCAGATGTTGGAATGCAAGTTTTTGGGAGTGCTTCAGCAGATATTGCGATGCAAGTTTCTTCAGCAGACGTGGGAATTCAAGTTTCTTCAGCAGATGTTGGCATGCATGTTTCTTCAGCAGATGTTGGAAGGCGCGTTTCTGGGAGTGCTTCAACAGGCGTTGGAATGCGCGTTTTTTTTTTTTTTTTTTTTTTTTTTTTTTTTTTTTTTTTTTTTTTTTTTTTTTTTTTTTTTTTTTTTTTTTTTTTTTTTTTTTTTTTTTTTTCCCGGAAATGTTGGATTGCAAGTTTCTTCAGCAGAACAATCTGTTGACATGCATGCTTCTTCAGCAGAGGTTGAAATGCACGTTTTTGGGAGTGCTTCAACAGGCGTTGGAATGCAAGTTTCTTCAGCAGATGTTGGATTGCAAGTTTCTTCAGCAGAACAAGATGTTGGCATGCATGTTTCGTCAGCAGATGTTGGAATGCACGTTTCTGGGCGTGCTTCAACAGACGTGGGAATGCAAGTTTCTTCAGCATATGTTGGATTGCAAGTTTCTTTAGCAGAACAAGATGCGGAGGTTGGAATGCGAGTCTCTTCAGCTGGTAGTGCAACAACTTGCGCGCGAGTGAATCAATCTGATGTTAGGGTGCCAGATAAAATGGAGCAGTTCGATCAGTTCGTAATTGAGGTTGGAGTGCACGGGCGAAGTTACTTGATAGATGACATGCTTCGCATGAGCTTCACGTCACAAAACGTGTTTCGTCTCGCCAGGTGTCTGGGCAGAAAGTTCGGCCCTCCAGTTGCCTCTAAGACTCAGTGCCGGTATAGCCTCAATCACGACATTCTTTTTGGTGTGTTCTATATGTGTACCAGATTGAAAATATCAGAAATTCACGGTTTCACCAGGCAAAGGGCAACGCGCGATGCCGTTGTCGAGGGCATCCTGCAAGACCTCATTGTGGTGCAAGGTGGGCCTAGAACTCTGGGCGAGCATGTTCATGCAAGTTTTTGGAAGGAGGATTTCAGCCAATGGACGTTGCAAGATACGCGCCGAGTTCTCGGTTTAAATTTACTCTGTATTCCGTGTGTAAGCAGTTCTAAGATGGATGTGCAGGAGAAGGAGGTGATGGAAGAGGATGAGGATGACTTGCAGCACAATCAAGCACCTGACGCAATGGTTGGTGTTGAAACAGCAGTGGAGCTCGTGCCGACAAACTTGCGGATCAGAAAATATTGCTTTGAACGGCCGATTGTTACGGACAGGCATGCTATTGCCTCCGCCTGGCAACAGTGGCAACGTGGTTTGGATCCCGAGGCGCTCTGTAGCAGTGCTCCAGACAGTAAACGTCTTATATACACGGACCCCCCACACATTCCAAGAGTTGAATATGCTTCAACGTCTTCTGGGCAGTGGCTACTCCCATGCGGATATCTCGTGCTTTGAGGGCTGTCTGGTTGCAGCGGGCTGGGATGAGGAGCTCGGTGTAAACTCCGTTTCCTGTATAGAGTCACTTCCGCGGGGATGTGGTGGGCGGTGGGGGAGTTGCTGCAAACATCGGGTCACGGTGTGGCATGCTTTGCAGTGCAGCGAGGTCTGGGATGGTGCTTTCCACGATGAAGAGCTCATGAATGATTTTCTTGAGTCGGTCGTTTCTCGTCTAAGACGTGACGGGGCGAGGATCTGGGAAGACGTTCGGCAAAGTTAGATGCTACTCTCGCTCATTTGTGAATTTGATGGTATTCATTTCCTGAGCTCAACTTTTGCTTTGATTGTACTCGCTGCATTTGTTACCTTGTACTTCCAGGCCGCTTGCTTTGTACTTGTTGCATTGTCAGCTTGTGCTCTTGTCTTACCGCGGGTTGTTACGACATACTTCGGACTTTGTGTTTGCGTTGGCTCTTGCCATGCTGTGTGTGTGTCGGGCATGCGCGCATGTTGGTATAAGAGCTCCGCGTGTTCTTCATTTTGTTCGGAATAAGAGTTTTGCATTTGCCCACTCCCGCTCAAAGAGTGGTGGGTGTCTTGCCTGACTCTGGTATGCCGCCCGTTTTCCTGTTGTGTGTATGCCTGTAATTCACTTTGTCTGTTGTGCGTGCATAATTCAATTCGCACTTCTTATCTGCATTCTGACCTTTAATCTCTTGTGCATTCTCAGTGGTGTTCTCAGTGCTCATTGACCTTTGAACGTGACTTTCCGTGATTTGTCACGTGGTGCCTCAAAGTAGGCCTTTGATCTAGTCGACACTACACTGCTTTTATTTTCAGTGGTGCTGAGGCGGTAATCGCTATATGTGGTTACTGCATGGTCTCGCACTGCTTTGCTTCCCTCTTTCTATTTTTATTTGTCTTCTCGTGTATTGGCAGTCTTGTGCATATCTGTACAGCTTCGCTGTTTGATGCACCTCTGCTTTAATCTTTGCAGCTTCGCTGTCTTCCTGTACAGCTTCGCTGTTTAGGTTCTTTGTGTTTAGGCCTGCTCCCATGGGAGCTCGAACCGGCCTTCGCAAAAGACGCAAAAGACCAGGTTGACGGTTCACCGCCGGCGCCAGTGTGTGAACTTTGGGTCGGTTGGTCGAACTTTCTGAGAGATTTGAACATTCGTTTTGAGAACGGCATTTTTCGCACCTGTAGTGGGTTATGCCGCGTCCGCCAGTGAAATTCTTAGGTCCGTAGCTGCAGTATTATTATCAAAACGCTTGAAGGAACCGACTTTCGGTGAAAACTGAAAAACGTATTTTTTTTTCAAGTTTTTTCAGCTCACGCGTAAGAAAGCTTCCCCCATGTGTTCCGAGCAGCGCTGTGCAGACACGAGCCTTACGAGGCTCCCGGCGGCAACCTGGTTGACGGTTTACCGCCGGCTCCCAGTAATGCCTCGTAGAGCTCTTCGGCATCGATGAGCTAGAGGAATTTCGGCGCGGGGTGCATCTAGTTGGCCGACCTAGTGCGTGCCAGGAGCTCTACGAGGTCCCCAGCGGTGACCAAGTTACCGGTTTACCGCCGGCGGCGCTGGAGAGCTAGTTGGCAAGAAAAATAATCTCGACGGACCTTTTGGTGACTTTTGTCGGTTGAAAATTTTGTTCTCGAAATGCCTTGTAGAGCTCTTCGGCATCGATGAGCTAGAGGAACTCCGGCGCGGGGTGCAGCTAGTTGGCCGACCCCGCCTAGACGGGCAATGTGTGAACTTTGGGCCGATTGGACAAACACTGTGAGATATTTGAACATTTGTTTCAAGACGCGGTATTTTTCGCACCTGTAGTGGGTTGTGCCGCGTCTGCCAGTGAAATTCTCAGGTCCGTAGCTGCAGTATTATTATCAAAACACTTGGGGGAACGGACTTTTGATGAAACCCAAAAATTGTATTTTTCAAGTTTTCAGCTAACGCTTGATGGAGCTCTTCCCATGTGTTCCGATCAGCGCCGCGCAAGGGAAAGAGCTCTACGAGGCTTTCGGCGGTGACCTGGTTGACGGTTTACCGCCGGCTCCCAGTTCCAGGGCGCTGGAGAGCTAGTTGGCCAGAGAAATCTCGACGGACCTTTTTCTGATTTTTGGTCGGTTGAGAATTTTGTTCTCGAAATTCCTCAATTCGTTTGAGCTCTAGTATTTTTTCCCGTGATATTGGATCTTATCCCCGCTCGCCGTCTTAATCTCAGGTGGATCGGGTAGGTACTACTGCCAAAAAGCACTGCGGCGGGATCGGCCGTTTCGGGCCATCTTGACACGCAGTGGCGCTTTTTTGAACATAACTCGAGCTATAGGACAGCTACAGAGCTGATATTAACAGAAACCCTCTTAGAATGATCAGGCGCGTTCGTCTGTTGCATCCAGAGGTCTGAACTCGGTCTGCTACCCGAGCTAGGTCCGCAAAACTGTTGGTATTCCTCGAGTCATCTTGTCAGTTGCTGTCGGTTTTCTCTACTTAACTGGAGCTGTGGGACACCTACAGAGCTCATACTAATAGAAACCGATCCAGAATCATCAGGCGCGTTCATCCGTTGCATCTAGAGGTCTGAACTCGGTCTGCTACTCGAGCTAGGTCCACGAACCTATTCGTATCATTCGGGCCATCTTGACAGATGCTGTCGGCTTTCTGCACTTAACTCGAGCTGTAGGACAGCTACAGAACTGATGCTTACATAACCTATTCGAAATCATCAGGCGCGTTCATCTATGGCATCTAGAGGTCTGAACTCGGTCTGCTATTCGAGCTAGGTCCGTGAACCTATTCGTATTATTCGAGTCATCTTGACAGATGCTGTTGGTTTTCTGTACTTAACCCGAAATGTGGGAGGGCCACAGAGGTCGTACGCACATCAATCGATTCCGCATCATCAGGCGCGTGCGTCTGTTGCATCTAGAGCTCTGAATTCAGTCTTCTATTCGAGTCTTCTATCAGCGGAGGCTGAACAACTATTCGTTCTCTGCCAATTCTTTGGACATAATATATGGCAAGGAAGCTCTACGAGTCCCCCGGCGGTAAGAAAGGTTGACGGTTTACCGCCGGCGCCCAGTTGGTCGACCCGGCCAGAAGAGACAAAGTGGTGACTTTGGGCCGGTTTTTCTTAGATTTGAAAGATATTTGACAATTCAGTTAAGAAAGCAGATTTTTCGCACCTGTAGTGGGTTAAGCCGCGTCTGCCAGTCAAATTCTTAGGTCTCTAGCTTCAATATTACTATCAAAACATTTGGAGGAACCGACTTTGGATGAAAATTATAAAAACGTGATTTTTCGAGTTTTTCGGCTCTCGCTTCAGAATCTTCATGTTTCAGAGGAGCGCTGTGCAAGAAAAGAGCTCTACGAGGTGCTCGGCGGTAACCTGGTTGACGGTTTACCGCCGGTTCCCACATTCCGGGGTGCTGGAGAGCTAGTTGGCAAGAAAAATCTCGACGGACCTTTTCATGACTCTTGGTCGGTTGAAAATTTTGTTCTCGAAATTCCTCAATTCGTTGAGCTCTAGTATTTTTTCCCGTGATATTCGATCTTATTCCCGCTCGCCGTCTTAATCTCAGGTCGATCGGGTAGATATTACGTCCAAAAAGCACTGCGGCGGGATCGGCCGTTTCTGGTCATCTTGACACGCGGTGGCGGTTTTCTGAACATAACTCCAGCTATAGGAGAGCTACAGAGCTGATATTAACAGAATGATCAGGCGCGTTCGTCCGTTGCATCCAGAGGTCTGAACTGGGTCTGCTACCCGAGCTAGGTCCGCGAAGCTATTCATATCATTCGAGTCATCTTGACAGGTGCTGTCGGTTTTCTGTACTTAACTCGAGCTGTACGCAGCTATAGAGCTGATATTAACAGAAACCTATCCAGAATCATCATGCGCGTTCACCTGTTGCATTTAGAGGTCTGAACTCGGTCTGCTACTCCAGCTATGTCCACGAACCTTTTCGTATTATTCGAGTCATCTTGACAGGTGCTGTCGGTTTTCTGGACCTAACTCGAGCTGTAGGACAGGAACCCATTCGAAATCTTCAGACGCGTTCATCTGATGCATCTAGTGGTCTGAACTCGGTTTGCTACTCGAGCTAGGTCTGTGAACCTATTCGTATTATTCGAGTCATCTTCAGAGATGCTGTCGGTTTTCTGTACTTAACTCGAAATGTAGGAGGGCCACGCAGTCGTACGCACATCAATCGATTCCGCATCATCAGGCGCGTGCGTCTGTTGCATCTAGAGTTCTGAACTAAGTCTTCTATTCGAGTTTTCTATCAGCGGAGGCCGAAAAACTATTCGTTCTCTGCCAATTCTTTGGACATAATATATGGCAAGGAAGCTCTACGAGTCCCCCGGCGGTAAGAAAGGTTGACGGTTTACCGCCGGCGCCCAGTTACTTGCTGCACCCCGCGCCAGAATTCCTCTAGCTCACCGATGCCGAAGAGCTCTACGAGGTACGAATAGCTTTCCGGACCTAGCTCGAGTAGCAGACTGTGTTCAGAGCTCGAGATGCTTCAGCCGAACGCCCCTGATGCTCCTGGATTGATTTCTGTGCGTACCAGATCTGTAGCTCTGCTACAGCTCGAGTTAAGCACAGAACACCGACAGCGCCTGTAAAGATAACTTGAAGAATGCGAATAGTTTCGCGGACCTCGCTCGAGTAGCAGACCGAGTTCAGACCTCCCGATGCGACAGACGGACGCACCTACTGATACTGGGTTTTTATATGCTGACCAGCTCTGTAGCTCTTCTAAATGTTCAGTTAAGAAACCGAGAGGACTTGTCAAAATGACTCGAAGGATAGGAATAGCTTTACGGACCTAGCTCGAGTAATTCGTAGAGCTTCCCTTAGCCAGTTGCTGGAAGCTTAAGAGTAATTCCAGGGCGCTGGAGAGCTAGTTGGCAAGAAAAATCTCGACGGACCTTTTGGTGACTTTTGGTCGGTTGAAAATACCTCGTAGAGCTCTTCGGCATCGATGAGCTAGAGGAATTCCGGCGCGGGGTGGAGGTAGTACCTCGTGGAGATCTTCGTTATCGATGAGCTAGAGGAATTCCGGCGTGGTGTGGAGCTAGTTGGTCGACCTGACGAGAAAAGAAGATGTGGCGACTTACCGCGTAGAGCTCTTCGGCATCGATGAGCTAGAGGAATTCCGGCGCGGGGTGGAGCTAGTTGGTCGACCCGACCAGAAAGGACAATGTGTTAACTTTGGGCCGGTTTTGCGAATATTTGAAAGATATTTGACAGTTCATTTTAAGAACGCAGATTTTTGCGCTAAGCATACGCATATGAGCTTTGTTCTCAGAACAGCTCAGCTCTCCCGAGGACGTTTTACTATGGGTTCACTTCCGGGAAACGACCTCGTATTGACACCCAAAAATGTCAATTTGACGTTTTTCTAGAAATACTCCAAGAAGCTTCTGCTTCGATCCTTAGCACTGTTACGCGTGCAGGGAGCTCTACGAGGCTCCCGGCGGTGACCAGGTTGACGGTTCACCGCCGGCGCCAGTTGGGTCGGTTTTGCTAAGATTTGAAAGATATTTGGCAATTCATTTTAAGATCGCAGATTTTTACTCCGAGAATTAGTATCTAAACATCCATCTGCGAGAAGCTCAGCTCCGTAGAGAGAGTTTTACTATCGAAACATTTGGAGGAACCGACATCACGTTGACACTGAAAAATGCAAATTCGACGTTTTTCTAGGAATGCTCCGAGAAGCTTTCTGCTTTGAATCTGAGCACTCTTACGCGTGCAAGGAGCTCTACGAGGTTCCCGGCGGTAACCAGCTTGGCGGTTCACCGCTGGCGCCATTGGTCGACCCGGCCCGGGCGGACAATGTGGTGACTTTGGGCGGGTTTTGCTGAGATTTGAAAGATATTTGACAATTCATTTTGAGAAGGCAGATTCTTCGCACCTGTGAACGACTATAAGGGCCTCTGCATCTTAATATGAGCTCTGTAGGCGCACATAACTCGTAAAGCTTCCCTTAGCTAGTTGCTGGAAGCTTAAGAGTAATTCCGGGGCGCTTGAGAGCTAGTTGGCAAGAAAAATCTCGACGGACCTTTCCTGACTTTTGGTCGGTTGAAAATTTTGTTCTCGAAATTCAACAGTTCGTTTGAGCTCTCGTATTTAGTGCCGTGATATTCGATCTTATACCCGCTCGC